TTTGGGGGGGGGGGTATTTTGTTGTTTTTTGGGGTTTTTTTTGGAAAAACGCAAAATATTACAGTAAATTATCCGATCATTGAATCAAGGTCTGAAAATGAGATAGCTTCACATTTGGTACAATAGAATAATGACTACAGCGGCGCCCGTTATTACAGCGGGACCTTACCGGAATCCCCCTTTTCTCTAGGAAAACTCAATTATGCTTGGATAAAGCGGGGCAAGGACAGTCCCAAACTCGGATACAGCGGGAGAGATCGAACGAGCTCTAGCTGGGGGGTGGGGGACGGGGCTGTAGGTGGGCTCCAAACAGGCAGTCAGCGATGCGGCGTTGTGATTGGCTAGTCCCGTGATGGGTGAGGTGGGGCAGAAGTTGGCCACAGAGAGATGGTGCGTGTAACGTGAACCACTCCATAAATGATGTAGATCTATACATGTGTACAGAATACAATTTGGAGTGGCTCTTATGGTCTAGAGGTCATGGTGTTTGCCTCTCATTCAATAGGATCCGGGTACGAAACCCGACGGGACGGAAAATTTTCCTCTCTGAAATTTTCTCCGTTCACCTCCTTTCCAGCTCTCCTGCCATGCTCTGTTGTCAGCTTTCGACTCCAGCTTCTGCCTACATCTCTCATCCCCCCCTTTTTTTGTTCCCTCCTCCTCCTCCTCCTCCTCCTCCTCCTCCTTGATCCTTGGTCCTTACATACTACATACTGCTGTCTTTCAGCCACACCCCTTTTCTTAAGGTACCGTAAGTAAGATATAACACTTAGCCAAAAACAGTTCGGAGGTCCCGTGTGCAAGTTGCACACATTAAAGATTCCTCTGTGGTCCAAAATCTACAAAAGAGTAGGCTTCGGTCGTCACTCGGGCAAAATTCAAAATTAATTGCTACCAAGCTGAAACTATTTAATTACTCCCGCGCGTTCATAAGACCTTATGCAGTTGGGAGCGCCGTAAAACACGAACTAAATCAAACCAAAAAAAACCTACAATTTTGTACAAATTCGGGATTTCGTACTCTATTGAATCCTTAATCCTTTCTAAAAAAAATACTGATGATACTTTTTCTCTTTGTCCAGAGTTCCATGTCTGTTCTCCATTCTACCATGATCTACCTTGAGACATGTGCTTTACCTTCAAATAAAAACAAAAACAAAGCTGTATAACATCGAATATATGCATAAATCTAAATTCACTCACACATACATACTCTCTCTCTCTCTCTCTCTCTCTCTCTCTCTCTCTCTCTCTTTCTATCTATCTATCTATTTATCTATCTATCTATCTATTCTCTCTCCACCCCCCCTCTCTCTCTCTCTCTCTCTACTTACGTATTGCTTCTCTCTTTCTCCCTCTCACTCTTTCAATCTTTATCTAAAACAAGAACTTCCTAGATCTCTGTGTTTCTCTCTCTCTCTCTCTCTCTCTCTCTCTCTCTCTCTCTCTCTCTCTCTCTA